AATCGATTTACTAATTAAATTTACTAATTATATTTATTAATCGATTTACTAATTATATTTACTATTTACATTTACTAATTTAATTATATTTACTAATTACATTTACTAATCATATTTACTAATCATATTTATTAATCATATTTACTAATCGATTTACTAATTATATTTATTAATCACATTTACTAATCATATTCACTAATCACATTTACTAATTATATTTACTAATCGATTTACTAATTATATTTACTAATCACATTTATTAATCATATTTATTAATTAATTCATTAATCGATTGATTAATCGATTTTAAAATAATAAATAAAGTATACTTAAGTAAGTAAAGCACAAATTCATAAGGTAGCGATAATAATATTTAATTTATTTAAAAAAGTAAAAAAGCAAAAGAGTAATTATATTATGTATATATATAGCACGTAGCTTCGCCTAATAGCTTAAGCGCCAAGGAGCTTATCAAACACGTGTAAAAGAGCACGTACAAGGCCAGACTGCATTTATAATAGATTTACTAATCGATTTATTAATCATATTTACTAATTATATTTACTAATTACATTTCAATAGAAAATTTAAACCTTTAATCGATTTGCGATCGGCAAATCAGCGAAGATAAATTAAAGTTAGCATTTCGTATATCGCAAAGTATATTAAAAATAAAAAACTTAAAAAAAAGTATAATTATCGGTTTCTTATTAATTGAAGAAAAGATCAAAGCACTGCTATGACGATTTTAGCGCTTTGATAATCAAGTAGCAATAAGATTACGCGAATCTTACCCCTTCCCTCCGGGCCCCTTCCCCCCCCCCTTCTTCTCTCTGAATAGCCCTTAGCTATACGAATTGACTTGTATTAATTTGTATCGATTTATATTAATCTATATTCACTTGTATTGATTTGTATTCACTTGTATTCACTTGTGTTCACCTGTATTAAAAGTCTATAATAAAAATAAAATCTTGAAAAGAAATATAATAATAGATTTATTATTAGTTAAATTGAAAGTTAAAGCATTGCTATAACGATATCAGCGCTTTAATAATCAAGTAGTAATAAGATTACGCGAATCTTACCCCGTCTTACCCCTCCTACCCTTTCCTTGAGTCGCTTTTAGAAGTTAGCTATACGTATTGACCTTTATTGACTTGTATTTTATATTTACTAATCGATTTACTAATCGATTTACTAATCGATTTACTAATTGATTTATTGATCGGAATAGCAATACGATTACTCGAATCATATCCCCCCTTTTTTTGAATAGCCCTTAGCTATACGCATTCATTTGTATTAATTTGTATTATTTGTATTGACTTGTATTTCATATTTACTAATCGATTTATTAATCGATTTATTAATTGATTTATTAATCGGAATAGCAATACAGTTACTCGAATTATATCCTTTTCCCTTCTTAAGTAGCCTTTAGCTATACGCATTCACTTGTATTAATCTATATTATTTGTATTGACTTGTATTAACTTGTATTAATTTATATTGATCTGTATTAACTTATATTAACTTGTATTTTACATTCACTTATCGATTTACTAATCGATTTATTAATCGATTGATTAATCGGAGTAGCAATACGATTACGCGAATCACCTCTTTTATTTTAAGTAGCCCTTAGTTATACGCATTCACTTATATTAATCTGTATTACTTGTATTAACTTGTATTTACTTATATTAATTTGTATTAACTTATATTAACTTTTATTAACTTGCATTAACTTGTATTAACTTGTATTAACTTGTATTAATTTATATTGATCTGTATTTTACATTTATTAATCGATTTATTAATCGATTTACTAATTGATTTACTGATTTATTTATTAATCGAAATAGCAATACGATTACTCGAATTATATCCCCCCTTCTTCTTGAGTAGCCCTTGGCCATGCGCATTCACCTGTATTAATTTGTATTACTTGTATTGACTTGTATTTACTTATATTGATTTGTATTAATTTATATTGACCTTTATTAACTTGCATTAGCTTGTATTAACTTGTATTGACTTGTATTTCATATTCACTTATCGATTTATTAATCGATTTACTAATCGAAGTAGTAATACAATACGCTAGTTATTTGCACCCCTTTCCTTCCTCTTATTGCAATTGATAAGACTTTAAAGGATTAATCAATTTGCGACCGACAAATTAGCGA